AGTAGTAGTAGTCGTCGTCGTCGTCGTCGTCGTAATAGTAGTAGTAGTGGCAGTAGTAGTAGTAGTAGTAGCAGCAGCAGTAGCAGTAGTAGTAATAGTAGTAGTAGTAGTAGTAGTAGTGTTAGTAGTAGTAGTAGCAGCAGAGCAGCAGCAGCAGCAGCAGGAGGAGTAGCATTATTTTATTATTATTATTAGTAGTAGTAGTAGTGGTGGTAGTAGTGGTAGTAGTGGTAGTAGTGGTAGTAGTGGTGGTAGTGGTGGTAGTAGTAGTACTAGTAGTACTAGTAGTAGTCGTGGTGGTGGTGGTGGTGGTGGTGGTGGTGGTGGTGAGTAGTCATGCTAACTAGTTTTAGCTGCTGTGTGGTGGCAGTGGCGGTGCTGGTCTTTCTAGAATGAAGCGAAAAGAGGACGTTTGTCGCCGGAGGTCTTCGATGGTGGTAGCAGCAGCAGCAGCAGCAGCAGCAGCAGCGGCAGATGCTCAAGAACTGTATTTGTGGACGCAGTACCATACCTTAGCTGATCAGTTAGTCAGACGCCCGAATCTCTTGGCAACGACGACGATGTCCATCGACGACGACAGCATGTCTATCATGCTCACAAAGCGTAGTCATGTTGTAGTACCCGCATGACAGCAGGAACGTTATCGAGTATGGGAGCATTGACTGCCAACAATGCGCATAGAGTCAAAGATAAAGCAGAACTGTTTCCTGATGAAAGCAGTACATCAGCAGCAGGGAAGGCGTCATCTATTGCTAGTAGCAATACCCGTGCTTGTAATGCCGATCGCAACAATCACAACTGAACCCAACGACAATAACACAAGACGTACTCGTGACATTCACAGTAGCCAGCTTGATAACAGCAAGAGCAGAGTCATCGGCGTGTGCTGAGACGTGTGCCAAGGGCGTCTCAAATGTATCCGATGCCGAACGAGATGGCAGAGGAAGAAGATGAGGATGTCAAGCAGATGAAGGCACTGCCCTTGGTCCTTGCTTTTGCCAATCCTGCTGTAACCATGTCACAGGCCGAGTTGGAATCAGACATGGAAGGTCCCGAAGCCGCAGGCGGACACGACTCCGGACACGACTCTGTTCAGCTTGTGTGCATCGCACAGCCTGCTTTAGTGTTGTCGACATCCTCGGAGGTCTTCCTCCAATGTCGCCACTTCGAATAGGCGAAGGTCCGTTTCGATGAGAGCTCTTTGAACGCCCCACGGTCAGAATTGACAGGACAGAGAGGGGGCAGCAACCTGGCTGCTGGCGGCCTGAATGACTTCAGCAAGGTTGTCCCTGGCATGGCTCCCTCTCCTGTGTCCAACGCGCCTCGGTCAAGCTTAGGATGCGGTTGCAGCATGTTTTCGCAGCTGAAGAGTAGACGTCGTCACATATGTTCAAATTAAACAGAAAGCGACGTTTCGCGCTGTTTGCGCTGCTGCATTCGTTGCTTCGAGTGCAGTGTGACGACTGGCCTTGGAAGGGTGCTGCATCTGAGGGCGTGAAGGCAGAGTCTATCCAAAGCTTGAGATGACAGGATGACAGGCAGGATCAAGCTATTTTGTAGGTTTGCATTGCAAGGTGGTGACTAGGTAGTTGTCCATGCATCTGGGAAACCTCCCCGTCTTGCATCGGGCTAGGATGGTGGCGGTTTACAACACGAAGACTGCGACATCACCCGACTAGTGAGCAGAATTGCAGTTTAAGGCACGGAAGTGCAGGGCTTCAGCACGTGTTTCAAAGCCTGAAACAATCGGACGCGGTGCCTGCGACTTTGACGGTGGCTTCAAGCTGCCAGCTAACGGCATCCTATGGTAACTTATAGGGGCATATCTAAATTGCGCTGGGGGCCCGGGCTCGCTTGGGGAAAGGGTCGCCTTGTGCCGTTTGAAGTCTCACCCCTCGACCAAGAGCTCTCAGTGCTCTGGACACTGCGGTGTGTGTGCAAATATCGCACTCCATTTCCGTGGCCTAGGCGAATCCCGAAACCCCAAGTCCTAAACCCCAGGCTCTGCCAGACCAGCACCCTTGCTCCGGCCGCTTGTAGCAGAAGTACGGTGTTGCACAGGAACACTGCCAGGTCAGAACCTCGACTTTTTCTAAGAAATTCGATGGGAAAGGATCAGTGCAGCTTCAAGCCGGTACTTGAGGGCATCATGGCACCTCAAACCCTCGGCCCACAGAGAACATCGTGGAAGAGGATGGCACGTTGAGCTCTAGATTCGAAGCAGGGTCCCACGTCTGTTGTGCGAAGGTACCCGTCGAAGATTCCAAATGACTGCGTATATGCAATTATATGCACATCTGTCCGTCTGTCTGTCTGTCTGCCTTCCTGTCTGTCTGCCTGTCTGTCTGTCTGTCTGTCTGTCTGCCTTCCTGTCTGTTTGCCCGTATGCATGCATGGATGTATGTGTGCATGTATTACGATTTATGTAGATATGTGGCATGGTAGGGTATGGTATGGTATGGGGCTTGAGCTTCGGAGTTTGTTCAGTCTCCCTCCCCCTCCCCTTTGTGCCCTCTGCACGTGCACAGCGCGCAACCATATGGTTGCATACGCATAAACATACATATGTATACACAAACATACATCGAGCATGGATGTACATGTCTCCACGCACTGTAAACACGCATTCATGAATACATGGATTGCGCATCAGCTTATGCACGCAGAGACACTTACTTGCAAGCATTTGAGTCCAAGAGTTCAGAGACCGGCATTGCAAGCATGACTTTTTGGAAGCTGATGTTAGTCGTAACTTCCAGCTCCGAAGGTCGGAAGGCCTGTGTTAGCGCAGTACAGCAAACCGGAGAGTGGCAGTTCTAGGAGCATAGTAAGGCTATTGGATGACACGTTGCAGTTTTATCGAATAGTACGAACTTTGCAGAAAGTAGGATGGCGGCAGGGGTGGGAGTTGTTGTGGTAGTAGTATCCGCAGCAGCAGTTGCAGTACCAGCAGTAGTAGTTGGCATAGTCGTAGTAGTAGTCGTAGTGGTGGTCGCAGTCGCAGTCGCAGTCGTAGTCGTTGTGGTCTTGGCAATAATACCGGTGGTGGTAGTAGTAGTAGTAGTAGTCGTCGTCGTCGTCGTCGCAGTAGTAGTAGTAGTCGTCGTCGTCGTCGTAGTAGTAGTAGTAGTAGTAGATGATGATGATGATGATCTTTCTAATGGTATTCGTCGTCGTAGTGGTAGTGGAGCCATAGTGCTGATCGTGGTGGTAGTAGCAGTCGTCGTCGTAGTCATGGTGGTGGCGGAGGACGTAGCAGTATCAACAGAAGGTGGTGGCATTGGCAATACTGGCAGGGTAGACAGGCTTTCGCCAGACCTTCACACGCTTCTTACTCGTGTTGGGGCGAGGGCAAAGCCCGAACCCCGCGAACCCTCTTGTACAGGGCCCGCGTGATGAATACTCGTAGTCACTGCTAGTATTTACCCTGAACCCTTACCCTCCAGATCCCAGTGCAGCGGTTGTCAGGATGCTCCCTCCAATATCTCAAATTGGGGCAGTATGAGGAGACAAAAGCTAGGCCAGGGCGTAGGCATTTTGTACGGGCCCAATTGGTGTGTATAGAGGCACACAGTCTCAGTGCTGACGAAGTCAGCAGAGAAGGCGTAGTGAGTGCAGGCGACGGAGTCGCCTAAAACATGGGGATAAAAAATGCCAAAACATGTATGAGGCATACGCGGAGGGTTCTTTTCTCAGGGCTAAAGAATGGGTTGTGACAATCAGGGTAACGTATGTCGCGATAAAGCATCAGTTGAGGACTGTGCTTATCAGGGCTCTGACCTTGAACATGCTCTGCTTTTTCAAAAGGCCTTTTTCGTGCGGTGCTCGGATTGGTTCAAGAAGTAGGAGCATGTAGGAACTAGGCTTGGTTGAATTGACAAGAGCATGCTGCTCGGAAACACCTTTTCAGCACTCCGGATAGGGTCACAAAGCATGGAACGCAGCAAATCCCGCAGCCAAGTCTGCACACGCATGACCGGCCATCATGCAAAGTAGCTAGCCTAGCGTATGTTGCAGAGCCTGTGTGCCGACAGCGAGGGTACGATGCTACGAACCGACAGCAGACGTCTCGCCTGTCGCAAGGAGTCGGACAGGGGCAGCAAACATGCAAACCTGCTTGCCACCTCGGCTGCCGAGATGATTCTAAAAGTCAATGGAAGCGCTGAGGGCATGCGAAGCTTCCATGTCTCGTTCAGCTTTACAGCGAGGAGCTGTTTGCAGACGTTCTTCAATCCAGGACAGATGGCGAAATGGCAGCTTGGAGAGCCAGGCGCCTTCGCTTGCCAGCACGTGCACTGTTCAAGCGTTAGCGCTTCCTGGGCCAGAGAAACGGCTTTCTCATCAGAAGATCACGACGCAAGCGAATTGAAAAACACCACTACCATGATCGCGACTAGACCCTCTGTGAGAGCTCCCCTCGGCCCTGGAAGGTGTGTTTTCCCTCACTGGGTGCCACATCGGGGCTTGCCAGCCCTCTCAGCCTCGGGCTGCTGGGAGGTTTTCTCGGCCGAGGCTCGAAAAGTCTCCGAGCCTAGCGCACCTTCGCTGCAAGACGATTTGGTCAAGCTGTTGCACAATCTTCTTGGTTTTGCAATGACACCATTTCTCGAGACCTTACTCCGAGGTCCAAGAACAGGCGTGCACGTGCTCAGATAGAACAGAGCGTTCCTTCCCCAGACTGGGCAGCAGCAGCTTCATGCTGTTTGCTGCTTGGCTTGCGCTCCAAGCTGTGCTGAGTCCGTTTAGTTCTCTGCCTGCAGGTCTTTTCGCAGTGGCAACCAGTGGAGATCGCAGCAGAGGTAGGCGCTTCCGAGAATGCCGCAGAACTGGCAGCGACCCTTGTTTCTGGTGCCAGTGTGAGTCCCCTTTTGGATCCTAGTTCGGTCAGCTACAGCTCTCTAGTAGGCCTCTACACAGGCCATTACTGGGATGTGAGTCTGAGGGATGTTGAGAACGAGCGCGTGTCGCATCTCTTTGCCAGGAGGCTGCCCCGACGAATAGCGGCCTCGCATTGCAATCGGCACAGGAGAGGGGCCCAGTAGCTTGAAGAAGAGGTGCTTGTTCCGACAGATGCGAGGGCGACGCGGAGGAAGACGACGAAGAGGATGAAGAGACCATAAAGCGGTTGTTGGATTGGCGACGCGAACCCGACGAAAAAGAAGCGTGCTTCGGTCGCAGCAGGGATGTCCAGCTGTGCCTAGGCAGGCGTTCAAAATACCCATGAGGAGCAGCAAAGAAGCCATCCAACCCCATTGTAAATGTCCCTGGGTGGAGATAGATTGGGGTCTTGCCTGCATACGAATCCGCTTTTGTGAGGGAAGTATGCACGACAGAAAGAGTTGAGGATCTCATGATAAACCCTGAATGGAGATGACGCACCCATAATCATGAGTTTAAGCAGCTTTGAGAAGCCTCAAATCAGACCCTTCCAAATTCAATCCCAGCCCTTGCGAAGCATGGTATTACTCTTCCAAACGACGCGTCACGCGACTACTGCCGCATGTAGGTCGACTCCAGAAACCCATGATATTGACTGGGGCCCTGCGCCGAGCGTTGTAGTGTCGTGTTGTCTGCGGCTGTCATTTCCCAGGCCACGGGGGAAGATGACTCTAACCAGCTCCAACGACATCTCCGCGCGCATGCGCTGGCAGGCAGGGCGAGTCTCCATGCGAAGGTGGATGAGTAGCAGACAGAGGCATAAATAAGAGCCCCTGAAACAGGGCATCGGTGAGCCCATGCAGAGTATGGCATGTGCTCATCTGCACAGGTGGCCTTCGCCAAGGTGAGAGAAAAGACCGGAGTCGCCAGGCGGAACCAGCACCGCATCGCCCTCACGAACAAGGTCAAGGACGGCACTAGCGAGAAGAGTGTCGCGTCATGTTTGTGGGGGGCCCGTGTGGTTTCTTTTGAGGAGTACCTCATGTATACCAACAGTCGAGGCAAGCTGAGCCGACTGGCCGATGCAAACATCGTGTTTTGTTGCTGAGTTTGCTGAGGCTCATGTAGCAAGTTGGTGAGATCCCTGGAAAGCTATGATAGATCCACTTGGATGGAAAGGGAAGAGATATCCTACAAGAGGCTGCTTGACGAAGACACCTGGGTCTTGCACCTTGGAGTTGAAGGCCGTCGACCGGTGGGAATGCAGCCCTTGCTGCGGTGGCCGAGGTTCACGGAGGGCTTGCTTGATGAAGCTGAGACCTGGGTGACGAAGAATTTCGAGGACATGCAAAGTGCCCTGGAGCCAGCAGCTGGGACCTGACACTGGCGCGCAGCGTGCGCGCAGAGATGCTTCGTGTGCGAGTCCTTCGACCGTTTTAGCTGGCAGGTTGTCTTAAGCGAGCCTAAGCGCCAATATGACATGAACGAGTTCGAGCGCATGCTACGCATGAACGAGCAGGCGGGGGCAGGTGGCGGGAGCTCGTAGGCGGTCCGTTCTCGGGAGCTTGCACACTCCAGCCTTTGTGGCAGGAGAACGAGTGGTTGGATGCGCAGCGGCGGAAGACGGATGAGCTAATGGACGTCCACGTCCGGCTGGTGTCGCGATCCACAGCAAGCATGGCCGACTCCATCGCCAGAGTTAAGCAGGTGGGACCCGGTGTCGGGAAATCAATAATTCAGGGACCTCTGGTTGTCGGAGGCCTTGACGTCGCTGGTCAACGAGATCGCCGAAGGAGCGGATTGATCCTGTTTACTCCCAGCCGTGCTCACCCTGACGATTTAGGACTGCGTCGGCACAACAAGCTGGTGAAAGAGCACGAAGCCACAGAGGCCGAGCTCTATGATCTGGCCCGAAAACAGAAGCTACTGTTGCTGGGCTTGGAAGGTGAGGGGTCCCTTTCCGTGGGACTGGTGCAGCTCTGAAATCTCAGGCAAACGGCTCTTGAGGAGTTCGAGGTGCGCAAGAAAGAAGCCACCGATCCTTGGACGAAGAGAGTGTTCCAGACTTGCTACGCCAAATGCCAGAGCCTCTCGGCGTTGGGAAGGGGAGAGCCCGGCTCTGGGTCCAGGACAGGTACGCTCGAGAGCTGGAGACCCTGAAGACCGAGTACGGAAAGCTGAAGCGAGCAGTGGAGACCGCTCAGTCAGCTCTGGCCGGGCCCAGATTTTAAGTTTAGTCCAAGTCATGTGGGAGTCGTCCGGTGTTCATGGAGGTGAAGGACACGGAGAGGTACAACCAGTTCTGGAGAAATCTACTTGCATCGTTGAAGTCCAAAATCTCGGATCAGCTCGATGTACCTTGGCGGCAGGACGCATCGAGTCAGGAACGGACAGGATGTGTCCCTGCGACACCAGGTCTTGGGGCAGGCACACATACAGCGCATCCGACGGCAGCGCGAGGTTCACGAGCGCCAAGGCATCATGAGGCCAGCCATCCTATGGGGACTCCATGAACGATTCACTTTGTAGACTTAGCAGATGTATGCACACGAGGCGCAGCACGCTGGAGAAAGAGATCCAGGAGCTCAGACGCCTTCTGAAGGAAAGGCGGACGTACCTCAAGGACGCGGGCATCCTCGTCGCCTTTTTGCGGAAGCTGTCAGCACGCTCGCCAGGAAGCGCGGATACGGCAAGAGCTGACAGACCTGCGACAGGCGGGCTGCCGAAGTACCTCCATTTTGGGTCTTCGGGGACTTGCAAGAAGAATCCTAGCAGCTCCGACGGCCTGAGACCATCCTCCAAAAACCCTTGCAGAGGAACTCTACGAAGCGAGGCTGCTTCTCTTTGAGCTGAACGCGCGAGCTGGGGTGCCTTGGCGAAGTGAAGGTATCTGCAACTTGCGTAAAAAGCTGATAGGGCCTTTCTTACTTCCGGCTAGTTGTGGTTATCTTAGACAAGGGTCCTGCGATTTAGAGTGTATCTTAGGGTCCCGTCGGCTTCGGAGAAACCAGTCCCGCCAGGAGGTTCTCTGACGCCGACAGTGATCTCGTAGCATGTTTACGTATATATAGAAAGCAAACAAAAACGATCGTGCCAGATCAGACATCCGATAATACCTTGTCCGTGCAGAGACGGTGCATAGCATTGTGCAGCCCAGAGAGCAAGAGAAAGCGCTCGCGACCGTTTGAGAGGTGGGCTGATGTTGAGCACGACGTCCCTCTCAAGTGTATGCCTTGCAGTCTTCCCGTGCTATGCTTTAGATGCAAAGGAAGTGTCGGAGACTGGCGATCCTGCCCGGATCTCAATTTCAAGACCACTGACGATGTACTTTTGGCCATCAAACAAATTGCGAACGCAGGCAGAGGGAGAAGTGCTGCGAAAGCTGTGGAAGACAGGCGATGCAACGAAGATGCCGGAGTCAGGAGGGCCTTTCTGCCGTCATAAAGAGGATCTCTTCGGCCCGACTTGCTAGCGAGGACTGCTTCCCCTGTTGGTCCAGCAGCTGCAGATTCAGAGGCAGTGGCTGCTGGATCGGGGTCGGGGGCTGAACGTGAAGATTGTTAAAAAGTCTAAATGATGCAGTCGATGAAGCCCTGAACCTGGACCCTCAACCCGAAACCCCAAACCCTAGCAAGTAGCTGTAAGACATATCGACCTTCTGAGGCCAGGGCTTTTCGCTCAGTCTGCGACGACTCCTTCCGAAAGGCAGCGCTTAGGGCTTGGGATTTAGGATTTGGGGCCCTTAGGGGTTTAGGGGTTAGGGTTTAGGGTTTAGGGCTTAGGGGTCAAGGTGTAGAATTTGAAACTCGTGTGCGGGTTACTTCCAAGACGTAGACTGCTACTGCTACTGTCAGCACCGGTACCGCCACTGCTGCTGCTGCGGGTGCCACTGCTACTACTACTGCTACTACTAGTGCTACTGCTGCTAATACGCGGCCATTTCTGCGGCGACGACGAAGACGACGATGCCACGATCCAGACTGCTGCTGCCACTCCCTCGTACCGCCGGCAATACTACTACCTTACTGCCACTCGTTGTCGCCGTCGTACCGGCAGTTGTAGTGGTAGTCGTAGTAGTAGTCGTCGTAGTAGTAGTAGTAGTCGTCGTCGTCGTAGTAGTAGTAGTAGTAGTAGCGGTAGAAGTAAAGCAGCAGCAGCAGCAGGAGGAGGAGGAGGAGGAGGAGTAGTAGTAGTAGAAGTAGAAGTAGAAGTAGAAGTAGTAGTAGTAGTAGTAGTAGTAGTAGTGGTGGTAGTAGTAGTAGCAGCAGCAGCAGCAGCAGCCGCAGCAGTAGCAGTAGCGGTAGCAGTAGTAGTAGTGGTGGTAGTGGTGGTTGTGGTGGT